TACCAGCAACGACCCCAAGACGGCATTGACCAGCTTCGAGCTCTTCCCGAAGCTTCCCAATTGCGTCAAGTTTATGATATGGGAGGACTTTTACCTCGAGCCCAGGTACTTTTTTGTCGATGGCAGCGGCAACAGCCGGTTTGACAATACTGTCGAATGGGTTATGGAACCCAGACCTAGCAAGAAGAAATACTACACCGCGATCGATACAGACATAGATCCTCTGGCTAGCAATGTTGCCCGAACACTACGGCCAGAGCTTGCCATCGAAGTCTCGAAAGGCTCTGCGAAAGCTGAGCATGTCAAAATCAACTGGAGAACAGATTTTGTTCATCTAAGATGGTGCAATGACGTGCATCAAAGATGCAAGGCCTTGCCAAACCTCGAATGGGTTGCCAAGGTACAAAAGCTTGTGCTCGACGACACGATCGTGGGTCGAGATGAATTCGACGAATTCGATACCTCCACCGAGGAGATACATCGCATTGCAGTGTTGCTTTGGCACAGACGGGAGAGCTTCCTCTCTCTCCGAAATCTAATCCTACAAAGACCGCATGATCCGATAAGAGCAACGATCTTAGATTCTCTCTGCTTCCAAATACGTTATCTCATACGTGAGGCGCCGAAAACACCACCGCATTGGAAGGACATGCAGGTCGAAGTTGGCTCACAATCACCATGGCTGGATATTGAGCGCCCGGGCCGAGCTCCTCCTCTTCAATGGCAGAAATTAATCGAATCGTGGCGCCTTCACCCCGAAATTCGGCCGTTGCCGGTGGTTTTTGATCCTTCTTTTCCGCAGGGAATCTCGTCTTCCATAGCCACGGAAACGGACATGAAGCTAGCTGACTGGCTAGAGGAGGAACCATGGCCACTTGGACGGGGCCTGAACGAAACCGAGGACTCCAGGACTGTATTCAAGAATTTGCTACTCCTTAGACCGCTTTCTGCAGATCCGTTGGAAAATTATATGGCCGCAATTGATTCTGACGTATACTCCGCAAAATACAGAGCAATGGCTAAAAGGTTCTTTGGCGCAAGGGAAAGGGCGTAAAGACGAACATGCCATTCTCTAGGAGCATGAATCATTTATCGCCATTCCGTTCTTCAGATTTCGGTTTTGTCGTATGGTTATGAATGGGTGGAAGCATTCAGAGAAAGTTCACAAGGCCCAAAACAGGGATGCAGGCATCGGCATCCCACAGTCATACGAATCCCAGACAGGATCTTCAACTGAAACCATTTCAAACTAGGGGGAAAGTTCGCTTGTAAAATTATCTTGCTTTTGTATGACTGCGGTCTTTCTAGAATGCATGCACTATTCAAACAAGGTCTTATGATAGCCACGTCAGGCTACGCCAAGACTTAGGACGTCTTTGAGGCCTATAAAGGTGGACAGTTTACCACTTTAGAAGTGATAATACTAATTACAAGAGACCACAGTCATTGATTCACTCTTCCTCTTGCGACTTATACGATCCCTGCTGCGCAGACGACCTGTTTCCATATATTCTTTTCCCCGTCACTTCAACTAGTCCGAATCATGCAGCTCGGCATTACTGTTCTTGTCGCCGCTTTGGCCTGCGGAGCTTTTGCTGGCAGTGAGTTTATCATAAAGCTTGATTGAAACGATTCACTGACACGTTGCCATAGAAAGCCCGATCGATGCCAGAAGGGCTGGAGGTACAGCCTCTGCAGCAAAGGACGGCAAGGCGTGCAAGACGAACCTCAATCAAATCTTGAACTCTGGCACCTGCGTTAACGGGAAATGCCAAATCATTATTCCACCTAATGAGACAAGCAATGTGCGAAGCGCAGATTGCGAGTAATCGGGGCTCTCTCTAATGAGGCACGCATGCAAGCATGGGATTTCATGGCTTCATGGGCTATGAGGCTAGACTAGAGCCGGTTTTGGTATTAGTTCGACTAGATCACAAACACCCATAACATGGTCCTGCCATGAATACCATGCGATCAAATCAATACGCCTTGAAGTGAACATCTGGTCAAGAGGCACAAACAGTCCGGCTAAAGAACAGTTCCAAATGCCGTAAGCAGAGATAAATGCCAAGCCCATACAAAGTGTGCACCACTCCGGCTCAATCCCCATTCATATTAGGGGTAATACGAATTGGTCGAGACATGTACGCTCTTGGCTGCAACGTGACACTTCGCTGACCCAATGAAGAATCAACCTCTGCTGTCAACCCCCAAAGCGGCGCATCACCCCGCAGTCGCTCGCGTGGTTTCTGCGGCTCATGCAAATTGGGCTTTAAATGCCGACGGTTCCCCGCATAGAATCGAGTTGAGCCTGTAGGAAGGTAGATGAGTCGTGGGATTTTGACGAATGGGGGCTGAAATGGTTGATTTTGTTCATGTGCCGAGCACATACACTATGCGGCTATGGCCCAAGGGAAGAGGTTGAAGTGGTAGACGAAATAGGCTTCTTCCGAATGCCAAGCCCCTGTGCAGATCACCTTCTCTCGGTGGGACTACCTACCCATGAGAAGATATTTAATGATCAAGTGAAGTCGGGAAGCTTTGTACAGTCAAAGTGCCCGGACGGCTTGAAGCTTTCCTTCGAACTTTAGTCTTCATTGAGCTTCGCTAGTCTCGTCAAGTCACGCCACGATGCCTTCTGTGAAGGGTTTGGTTCTGTCATACCTGGCTGCTGCTTCGCAGCTGGCATACGCCTGGCCCACACAATACCCCGAGCATGTCAATATTCTCTCGCGCGCCGAGCAGATTGCTTCTGAGTATGACTATGTTATCGTTGGGGGAGGGACCTCGGGCTTGACAGTCGGAGACAGACTCACCGAAGATGGAAAGTGTAAGTGAAAAAATTGCATGATCCCCCCGTACAGTGTGTGTCTGACAATAGGGGCAGACACTGTTCTGGTGGTCGAGTATGGCTACTACGACAGCCAGACCGGCATGAACCCCAGACGCATGTTCAACATCACCTCTCAGCCGTGTCCCAACCTGAACGGCCGAAGCTTCTCGGTCGGGATCGGATGTGTTGTCGGCGGCAGCTCGAGTGTCAACGGCCAGGTCTTCTTGAGAGGCACCAAGGATGAATACAATGCCTGGAAAGAGCTTGGTGGATCTGGATCTACTTGGGATTGGGACAATCTTCTGCCCTATTTCAAGAAGGTAAGCATCATATGTGATATAGGTTACAAACGACGACTAACAATGCTCAGGGCATCACCCTTGCGCCTCCTGATGCTGCTCAAGCACAAGAGTACAACATCAAATATGACATGAGCTACTGGGGCACAACCTCCAAGATCTATGCTGCCTTCGGAAAGGGACCGCTCACCTCTATCATGAGTTCGTACACCTTCTTTCATGACTGCGTGTGATTGTAACCCTTCCGCAGAGACCTTGTACAACGCCATGGCCAAGATGCCCGGCATGACCATTCCCGTCGACAGCGGTGCTGGCGAGGCGGGACTCTACTGGTACCCAATGTCGCAGGACCCCGTTCAGTTCCAGCGCTCTTACGCTCGCACCGGCCACTGGGACGGCCTCAACCGCGCCAACTATGAGATGATCGTCGGCGCGAAGGTCAACCGCATTCTTTTCGACGGCGATACCGCTACCGGCGTCCAGTTCGTCTCTCGTAACAATACCGGTGCCGCCCCTGTGCAGGTCAAGGCTCGCCGTGAGGTCATCCTTGCCGCCGGCTCCGTCCATACTCCGCAGGTCCTCATGCTCAGCGGCATCGGTCCCCGCGCACACCTTGAACAAGCCCGAATTGCTGTGAAGGTCGACCTCCCGGGCGTCGGCTCCAACTTCCAGGACCACAGCTACATCCCCAGCATCTCATACCAATGGGGTGTTCAGCCTCCCAACTCCGGTGGCGGAGGCTGGGGCGGTGGTGGCCCGCCGTCTCTTGCTTCCATGATCGGGTTGCCCGTCATCAGTCCCGACCGGTACGATACACTTGCTAGAACATACGAGGCCCAGGATCCCAAGTCCCATCTTCCATCCGCCTACACTTCAGAGCAGATTGAAGGGTATAAGCAGCAGCAGAAGGTATACGGCCGGCTCATGCGCTCCAAGAACACCGTCTTCTCGGAGATGATGATGTACGGACCCGGCGGCTCCGTGCAGAACCTCCACCCCATGTCTCGTGGCACCATCCTTCTCAACACGGCGCAGCCCGAGAGCGAGATGATTGTCGACTACCGCGCGGCGACTAACTCGATCGATCTAGACGTCATGGCGGAGATCATCAAGTTTATGCGCCGGTTCATGACGACTGGGGACCTTGCGCAGTACCAGGCTCGCGAGCTGTCGCCTGGAACTGGTGTGTCGACTGATGCTCAGCTTGTCAGCTGGGCTAAGGGCCAGATCATCCCGTCCGTGTACCATCCTGTTGGGACCACTGCCAAGATGCCTCGTGAGTGGGGCGGTGTGCTGGATGAGAATCTGTTGGTGTATGGAGTCAAGAAGCTTAGGGTCATTGATGCTTCCATGATGCCTACCACGGTAGGTGCGACGACATCCATGACAGTATATGCTGTGGCCGAAAAGGTGAGTGGTTTCCGAAACCTAAGAGACTTGCTGAAAGTCGCTGACATCATGGCAGGCTGCCGACATGATCAAGGCCCAGACTCAGTAGGGCATTCATCTCAAACAAGGAATGGGACTCTGATTCGGAGGGTACGGACTTTGGCTTCGTTAGTAACATGTAACTCATTTACGTGCAAGTGCGTGGTTAATACAACACTCCTTTTCAATCCCTGACTTTGTTGGTGACCCACGAAGAATAAGCTACCTGGTGTTGGTATGTCGCCTGCAGAAGATGTCATCAGTAACATGCTCATCACCTCTCCAGACATCATATCCCTAAGCAGGCTAGCAAGTTTACTTGTATGTCTACTATGGGGGTAACGTAGTTACTGAAAGGCTAAAACACGCGGCAGGTTATGTGCAAATCTGCCAGTGGTAGTGACCGCCAGCGACCTGATAGTCTACTCTGTAAGAGCACTCTAAAGCTCCTCAGAAACCATGCCTGTCCTCGTCAGCATGCCACTAATATGCTTGGCTCCTTGACGCGTACCCTCTTGAACGCCATCGCTGTGCGCCTTCTCCCACTCCTTCATCCATGCCTCCACAAACTTGACTTCTTGGGCGTGAACCTCCTTGATGGAGGTAGGCGGGAAGTTAGGCGTGACATCTTCATCCTTGACACTGTTCTCATCCCAGTGATGAACGCCAAGAGGGATCAGCAGGAACGGCTCGCTAGTCGTCGACTTGCGGTCGAGTCCGATCTTGTGAGGGGTGGCGGCTCTCCACGGGTCAGCCTCTCCGTCAACGATGGCAACGCGGGGGTAGCTGAAGTTGAACCCGCCGTGCTTGTTGATCGCCTCAACGTCAGGGTCCTTGGTGATGTTGAAAGCCCTGCGGCAATACTGAGAGCTGTATTCGACATCGATAGCGCGAGAGATAAGTGGGAGCTGGTCCTTCGGCACGCCAGAACCAGTTTGGAAGTAGCCCCATCTGTCATACTTGTCAGCAGGTAGGACTCAGGAGTTTCCGAGAGGAGACATTGAACTTACTCGGTGCAAACTTGGTAGGTCCAGCTTCGGCCCGCGCCCTGGCGGATTGAGGTGTTGTTATAGTTGGCCTCGTTCTTGCTAGAGAAGCACCTCAGCAGGTTGCCATCGGGGCAACCCTGCTTGACGTAGTCCTTGACATAACCAACGTAGTTGAGCAAGCGGTTCGTCAGCTTCTTGTCAGCGCCGCTGATTTCAAGCAGCTTCTCACCCGATGACTTGAGGTGACGGGTGCTGCCGAAGATCACGCTGTCGGAAGAGACCGTCGCACAGTACTTTCCGAATGAAGCGTCATCAAGGGCCGGGTCCCAGTTCGTCGACTGCAAGCCGGTAATGCCGAAGCTCAGGGTGTTGGCAAAGTCGGCATCTTCAAGAGGCTTGAGGCCAAAGAGCTCCTTCAGTTGAGCGACGTGGTCAGAATTGACCTTCTTTCCGTTGCCAAGGAGGATGTTGTCGACGACCTGAGTAAGCTTTTGGGTCGTTTCAGCGCATTCTCCGGGCGCGAACAGGCGGGCGCCTTCAAAGTACTCCCAGTAGTCGACGATGGCGGCCGTGACACCTGACGAAGAGATGCCGCCCCAGAAGACCTCGGGGTAGAGCTTGCGCAGGAACGCGGCGAAAGCGCCAGCGTATGAGCCTCCGTAGGCGATGTACGGAGTGCCAGGCGCAGTCAGGTTCAAGTCCTCGTGACCGGGGAAGCTGATGTGCTTGGCAAAGTACGCCGTATCGGCGAGAGCCTGGTCGGTACTCAGGAAGCGGAGGTTCTCCGTGGTGAGATCGGGAACAGGGAAGCTCTTGCCATAGTATCGGTGCTCCAAGACGACTCCGACGCCTCCGGTGGCCTTGGCGAGGATGGACAGGATACCGTGGTCGAGGAACGGGAGACGCTCCCTGGCATCAGTCTCTCCGGCCGCGAGGATGATGACCGGGCCTCCCTTGCGGTAGTGCTTCGCATCAAACCAGTAGCGGAGATCGAAGGAGCCGTCAGAGTGAGGCTCATACCGCGAATCGTTGTGGAAGTGATCAATAGGTACGGACAGGTTGTACTCCGGGTAGTCCGCGATAGCCGCGGCAGAGGCGGACTGCGACTTCAAGCTCAATTGCTGCTGCAGGGTATTCCAGCCCTCTTGGTTCGCGACATGCTGCGGACGCAGTCCGTCAACGGCCCGGGCCGCGCCCAGGAGAAAGCAAGCTCCAATCTTCCAGAACGCCATGCCGCCAGCTGGTGATGGGGAAGCCAATGATGGTGGGCGGTCGATGGAGGTCGCGTTTGTTTTTGTGACTAAAAATACGGAGCCCAGTTGATTGGTGCGGGGTTCGAGAAAAGCTTGGGCCACAGCACGGGCTCCACTCTCACTATCATCGGTCTTACGTCCCAAGGCACCCTGAATTGCCAGTATCTCGATCAAAAGAAGTGATAGAGAGAAAGAATACTGTTTAAATACTTGATTACGCTTGATCCATGAATGCAAATAGACATTTTTGTGGGTTGATCCCATAATTCATCCTAAATTGCGAATTGATGTCTGGTATCTACGTTAGAGCAGACCAATATGCTGTTAAGGCGTTCTATTCAGGCGCCTCAGGTCGAAACATCGCCCTGTGTACCTACCTAGTCGGGTGAACTCTAGAACTCATGTGCTACAAACATGTCCTGTTGCTGTTCATCGAAGGCGCGAACTAGAAATTTGTTGAATAATAAATCGCAATGCTCTTTCTCTGTGGAGAATCGTGGGTATTTTCTCCAGGACCTGCTAACTCTATAATTAGAGTTTACTTGAACATGCTACCAATCAATGCCCTGTTTCTGGCTTGAGAAGAAGCACACTGGTCGCATAATTGTCCAATACTTTCTTTCGTCGTCATCCTGCTTATCAATGGAACCAACCCTAATTGTTCCGTCCCGATTTCACCTTCCAGCGTCGACGCCTTGTGTTTGCCCTCGCCCACTCCACTTTCCATCGCCGTCCGACTCTGCGCCAGAATCATCCAGTCCACAGCAGGAACTTCCCTAGACGCGCGCGCATACCAGATCATCCTCAGACCCTATCCGTTGCTTGGTGGGTCGAGGCAGGCTGGTTGAGGAACACGCTCCGCTCCTTCTCGCCATCATCGCCGACGTAGCTCTCAGCGCTCGCCGCCTCGTTTTTCGGGTGGCAGTCCAACAACATATTTTCAGTAGCCGCGAAGGACGTGGGCGAGGGCTCGAGGGTGTCTAAGCAAGCGCCGCCTAGCATTCCCGTCGAATCCGTGAGAGATGCCGTTTGCGCATATGAAACTACTATGAGGAATGTTTAAGAGGTGGCAGAGCCATCATCAAGGCACCCACGGCTTTCGAATGAATCCTGTGACAATCCCGCTGATCGGTGCTCTGTTCCATTTCCGCGACGCTTTGTGGGTATACGCAGCCGATGGAGGGGAGATCGCTGGGAGGCAGCCTAGCGGCGTTGATATCAAAACATTGGCAGACTTTCCTGTCCGCTCTTGAGGTTAACGCTTCCACTGCGTTCTTAAGTTTTATGAAAGCGACAAGGCTGTCCGAAAGACGTGAGTTCCACCTCTGCTATAAGCTGATGCTAGTGAAAGGGGTTAGTACCGCACGCGTGAGTGCTGCGGAGTTGGTGGTAGCCTTACGAGTACCTTGGAATCTTTCATGCAGCCTCTCGTCGTTGATGCTCAGAAGGCCTCCGTGGTGAATAATCTTGGAGAGATGGTAAGCTTCGGGGTCGAGAAAGCCTTGTGCAAACTGTTGGAGCGATTCGGCATTGCTGTTTAGCCGGACAGTCGTGAAGCAACGCGCCTGGAATCAACTAGTCACAGCGCCAGAAGCCGGCTTACACATATCTACATGCATTGACAGAGCTTGCGCCATTCGACAGCCACGAGACGAGACGTACCTCGTTCTCTCGCGAGTGCCCTTTCTGGCGACTCAGGCGACCGCCCGACTGTGCGATATCGAAATACCACGGGGCCCGGATGAAAGTCAAAGAAAAGACAAACCGGCCAGCCGGCCGCCAGTCAGACAGAGAGAAATACTACGGGCCCGTTCGGGCGAACTCCACGGAAAGAGCTTCGCCCCTGTCGCCATGCCATGGATTTGAGGCCTGCGCCAACAACAATGAAAATATTGACTCAACGCCGCAGCTGTGCATGGCGAGCGCCCGACTGTATAGCTATGACGGAAAAATCTCATTTCGATATGATGCTGCTGCTGTCTCAACGCAATGTTCGTCCGACCCCGCAGTTGTTGAGTTAAGTCTTGCAAGTTACAACTATGTTGTAGAGTGACTATAGCGTACGGATTGCATACATCTAGATCAAACGGTTTCCATTCTCCTAAGTTAAAATCTAACCAAAAGGGTCATTTTCAATATAGAGACTGATAGACTAAGCTAAAATTAGTTTAGATAAGTAGGTTAGAGGGAGGTTAGTGTAATTGCACCTTCCTTTAGGCGCGAGGCCGCCATAGATGCTTAACGGCATTATGATAAACTGCTAACTGGGTTGACTGTGTTGGTTGGAAGACTTAAGGTTAAACATGCCAAGTCGCAGAGCGAGACCCTTAATGCCACGCTGACGGTGGTCTGTGGCTCATGTTGGACCAACACGAACTTCACCCATGTAAGTTCCTAGGACCCCGACCATCATGTTGGGGTTCCGCTTTGGGCCAACGCTGTACCCGTACCTAAGCATGATCGCGGACAGGAGTTACAAATACGGCAAGGAGAAATGAGCCGACTAATTACAGACCCGGCCTGGCGCCGCTCTGCTCTTACGTTGATTTACTACCTTAGCTGCGCACAGTGCAGTGCCCTCCCGCCAAGTATTATGAGTCAGTGTGTAATCGTGTTGGAAGTTGGAGCTTTTGGCCGGTGGGACCATGTATTGCATCGCAATACAGTATGGTGTTGGACCAACCCGGCTCTCACCTTCCTTTACGAGCGATGTTGCTGGGGTACTTTAGGTAATCGTAGATTCTATGCAAGGTGATGGCTCTTCTTAGTCTCTCCACTCTCGGGCAACGTTACTAAATTCCATCACAGTTGACTGTGTGAAGTGACGGCTGCTGCTCGTTCTTCTTGCTGCAACATGGCGGTTATCATGTTTGCGTGACCGGTTGGCTGCTTCTTCTCGTACGCCCTTTTCTTTTTCCTCGGCCTGCGACATGAATCGAGACGACCAAGGACGATTCTAGCCGCCCTGCACGTACTTGCAGTTGCTGCAAGCCTGGGGGCCAGTGGTGAAGCCTTGCGCAAGCTTCCCCTGCTTGCTGTGCCTTTTGTCATCGGAGTGACGACGCACACGACTTCTATCCTGCTCCTGGACAAGGGAACTACTAGTACGGCTGGTCTTTCCCTCTCTGCGCAGCTGAAGGCAACGACCCTTCTCTGGTGCAATATCCGGAGGCTGGAGCCCTGCGGCTCCCGGCCCGCCACGGGATCAACACTGGGATGCCAGCGCCGCATCTCGTTCGGTCTAGGTCGCATCTCGAGAACCCTGGTCTTCTGGCTTGTTAACTGGTCGATATCCGAGATTCTATCTCTCCGGACACTGCGCTCCCTCCCTCTCGGGATCCACAGCTTTGCGCCCGACAAGCGGACCGTCCTTCCGAGTCCCTGGACTTCTCCAGGGCTCGCATACTCGGACTATGTTCTCCGAGCCATCACGAGCACGCAATGGATATGGATCACATACTGCGGCTTGACGATGATGCACCATTTGTCAGCCGCATTCTTCGTCTCGGTTTTGAATTGGGAATCTCCCAGCAACTGGGCGGGACCACCGCTTTTCGGCTCCATCTGGGATGCCTACACTCTCCGCCGCTTCTGGGGCGTCTTCTGGCACCGGCTGCATGTCGTTCCATTCGCGGCTTACACGCCGCCTCTGCCCAAGGCGCTTCGCGCTCTGGGTCTTCTTGCTTTCTGCGGCTGGTCACGCGCTGGTGAACTGGGTCATGTATCGCAGGGGGTATGCAGCATCCGAGTTCTCGTTTTTCGTCCTAAATTGGGCCGTGTGCTTGTGCGAACATGTTCTTGGCGTGGATGGCAGGAGGATGTCTGGCAGACTCGCCAGTAAGCCCCCGTCGACTGCTAGGCGAATCGCCGGTATCTTCTCCGTATGGCTGTTCTTCTTTTGTACCGTACCGGCGTGGCAGTATCCTGGAGTTTATGATAGGTCCTGATGTGGGCATCATGAGTCTCTTTCCTAGCTATCCTATGCAGGTCCCCGTCTTGCATAATACTGTCATTGCTGTTCTGGCACATGCTCTATGGCGGGTGCTACTCTGTCGTGTTAATCTCATCGTTTCCCATGAATACCCCGCTCCATTCTTTTTATTCAACACACCAAGGAGGGCTGTAACCGTAACTCTCCTCGGTCACTTTATTTACTTTCACTTCGGAGATTGCACACTCCTGTGGAGCCACCAGAGCTGCACATATCAACTGATTGCAAAATTGTCGGATCTCCCGAAAGCACCATGACCGAACCCCGTGACTCGACCGAGACGTCTCTGCCACCCTACGACGCGGTCTCGCAGCCGTATCAGGAGGTGTGCCCCCCCACAACCCTCGTCATAGAAAGCCAGTCGATCCAAGCTCTAGCGGCAGATTCCCCGCCACTGTATCATCTCAGTCTTGGTGTCTCAAGCCTTTCGGATATCACCACGGAGGTAGAGCTCTCGCGCGTTGAGCCGAAGCAAGATGGCTCGGGACGCCAACGCCATATATATGACTTGCGATATATGCGCTCGGGGCCTGGTGGCTACGTGAAGCTGCCGTCCGACTCGCCTCACTACTTTATCGAGCGTGCAAGCCGTCGCGTCCCGGGCCTTCAAGATCTTGGCCTCAAGAAAAGCCGCTTGCCGGGAAAGGCATGTACGACTGTTCTACCTGTTGACATCAGAGGCAAGACCAGCAAGTACAGCATACCCAATTTTGTCAAAGACAGCGCCCCCGTGTTCAGTATCAACAAAAATAGGTGGGCGGATGCGCAAGGGGCTTTGATTGCCTCCATGCATGATAATAACGAACACAGCCTGGTCGTCACGGCGGCCCTGCCGCGCGCCCAGTTTGACATGCTCGTAGCACTGTGGTGCTGCAAGGTATGGGAGTCTGGAGTTGCCAATTCCGAAAAGGTGCACGAGGGGATCGACGGAGGTGAGTAATTCAGTTAGATATGTGAATTCCAACACGTCGTTTGGTCGCTGACTTGTCATCTGTGTGTTAGTGAAGAGAAAGACGCGGCTGGCAAGGGAGTTTGGCATGAGTCGCTCAACCAGTAAGTTGCCTGCCATTAATCTGCGCCGGCCAGTATCAATCCATTAACCTGGTGTTCAGTGGGACCCGGAGGAGCGTCAGGGGCATTTTGAGTTAGCGGGTACGGAGTTCTGGATTCAAGATACAATCAGAGTTTCTAGGAACAAATATATCGCCATTGCACTGCCTAGTTATTGTTGGACCTTTGAACCAGCCCTTTCTTTGCAGGCCAGTGAGTTCTGAAGTCGATGGGGATAATGATATGGGCTGTCAGTTTGGCGCAGAGGCTTCCGAGGCCGGCACCATGGAAAGGCAAGTCCAGTGAAGGAGGGGCGTGTGGTATGATTCCAAGCCGAAGGACGTCGTCAAAGCAGGTTGGATGTCTTTCGACCCGTCTCGCCTAATCTACATGACAGACACTAAAGCCGTCGTCGAGATCGCTGCGATAGACAACACGTCCCAAGAAGCCCGTAGAGAGCCAGCAGCGTTTTTGTCTTTATCATCCGTCCCGGCACTGTCGTTGTTGCTCCCACCAGACCGCGGTCTCTCGGCTACGTCGCCGGGGCCAGCAGCCCACGCGAAGCCCGACAAGACCTTGTCAGAGTAGCCAGGGGTTGACGTGTCCATCGTGCCGTCGTCGTTGACCGTCGAGCCCTTGACACACTTGGCCCCGTTCCACTTCACGTCCGCCACCGCAGACCATAGGCTAGTCATATTGGTCAACGTGTCCCAGGTATAGAATAGCTTGCAGTTGGCCGCCTCGTAGTGGAACTGCAGGGGCGCGCCTAGGTCGTCGTTGGGATAGACATTTGCGGAGTTGACAGTCCATCCATCTGTGGGCATGCCAGCGAGCGGCGGGTCTGCCTCAGCAAAGGGCGTTACTTCGATACCCTCGGGCGGCTTGACGGGGCCGAGGGCGGGCCAGAGCTTCTGGTAGCTTCCCAGCGCGATGACGGGGCCGCCCTTCGTGCCGCCAACCGCCTGCATGGGTGCATCAATAGGACGTCCACCCATAGCAACGACCTGAACACCGAGCTCACGGGACATTATACCAACGATATAGGCGCAGGCGGATGCGCAGTGACCGTCAGTCACAATGATGGTATCCTCGGGCTTGAACCAGGGCTCGGGGATGGTAAAGATGCCCGGGAGTCCATCGGCAGCATAGGACACCTCCTGGGGCTGGATGATGTTCGTGTATTCATCCTCGCCGATCTTCTCGGGGCCATAGAAGCTGCTCCAGTCCGTGAAGTTCTTCAAGTCCTTATCGAGAAAGCCGCTGGACCCCACCGGGTAGGGCATGGTCTTGACATCGGTGACCATTTTCCCAAGCATGGTCCCGACCCAGTTCAGGAGGGGGTGCGCACGTACGCGCATCTTCATGTGCGCCTTGCTGTTGTTGGGGAAGAGGGTGGCGTATAAAGATATGGCATTCCACGCAAGGCCTCCACCATTACCCTGGAGGTCAACAATGAGCCTGGACTTGCCTTGCTTCCTGCTGGTCTCAACGAATTCGGCACTGACCCTACTGAAGTCGAGGAGGTCTGCGAGAACATCGGATGGGAGGATGGTCCCGCCGCCTGTTTGGTTCGGCGATATAAACAGATTCACAGCAAGGACGGCGGTGTCTTTCAGGGCTGATTCGTTAAAGAGATAGCCGCTCTGGTACCTGTCCTCGTGGATGACGAAGGCCTCAGGGTATCCTGCCAGAGCCGGTGCGAAGCCCGGCCGTACGTGGCGGATGGGCGCTTCTGTCTCGCCGGTCTTCCCGGGAACCTCGAAGCGCTCGTGCACGGCCTCGGCGGAGTTGATGCCGGAGAAGTTGGTCGCCACCCAGGCGATATTGGCGATGGTTGCTTTGGTGGCGTTGGCGAACTCGATCACGTTTTCGTCCGCGAGGGTGGTGTACAGGAACTGACGGGCCCCAGTAGTCTCGAGGACGTTCGCTAGGGCAGCACTGTACAGTTGACTGTTGTACGCTGCGTCAGGGTCCTGGTCTCGGGAGTTGTCAACGGCTCGCTGCTGGACGTGGTCGACAATGGGAACCGAGTCGAACCTGACGACCTCAGAAGCAATATACCCTTGCTCCACACTTTTCTCATAATCGGCTAGCCTGGGGTCAGCAGGTCTTGTTCGTCAAATAGGCACAAGGTCATCCATCGTCTTACAGTGAAGGTAGATCTTGGGATTTGCGATACCGTCTTCGGAGATTGACACAAAGAGAGCGGGCGTTTCAAAACTGAATAAAGTGCCTATCACAGGGGTAAATACCAGATGGCCGTCACGGGGCTTGACGTTAATCAGCCGATACAGGTCGCTTGCGAAGTCGAGCTGTGACTGGTAGCCACCGGCCTTCAGTATCTGAGTGATATTGGCGAGCCCCCCAAAGATATCGACGCCGGGGTAGAGATACCCCTCCGGGGGGTTTTGCAGAATGCTGACAGTGCTCTGGAACTCGAGCCATGGTCTGAGGTATTTGACAAGCGCAACGTCTCTCTCAACATCGACCGGGACCGAGCGCAGGCAGTCGAACGCCAAGGAGGGTCTCACCGCAAGTTTCTCTACATGCACCACGCACGTGAGTTCGCGTCCGCCATCGCCGTCGTGCACACCTCGTGGGAAGGTTACGGTTGACATACCTGTCGTGTTGTCTAGCACGGCCCCATCGTAGGCCTTGCCAATCTCTGCACAGGCGTTGCCATTTGCTCGTCTCCAAAGTGGGCTTGAAGCCGAAGGCGCGGCAACGGCAGGGCCCGCAAGGAGCAAAACTCGCACGAGGACCCCTACGTAGTGCAACATTCTGTCGTCGATGTGGCGAGGAGATTGCAGGTGACAAAATCGCGGCCCACGTTTTCTCATCGCCTGCTGGGTTATTGGCCTTTTGTATGTCCTGCCCGGCAGCTAGCGAGCTGTTCCCGGCAAGCTCTAGCCGACACGGCAAACCTTTCCTATAGCCCCAACAGGAACGGCCGAGGGAATTGTACGCTGGATGGTGTTGGTGCATCTTGGCGGACGTGGGTGGGTGGGTTCTGTTCATCGTATCGTGTTGGACGGGATGCTGGAGAGAAGATGCCCGGGGCAAGGTTCAGGTCGTCCAATCGGCGCTCGCCCGGATGACAATACTGGATCCGGCTGGGGCATGTTGCGAGCCCATTGTCTGTAGGCTGCAATCAATGACAGTGTGTCTAGTTCATCTTAGACGAGTGCGACTCTGCATATAGATCCAGTTGCACCACGTGGGTCGCCGAGCGAAAGTAGACTCCGTTACTCATCATCACTTTATCATCAGTGATGTATACTTTCTCGTAACGGTTCAAGATACGGCCATTGACAGTTTTTCAATGGTCGCATCCTTGATTGAGCGAGATGATGGCTGGTTTTAGACTCTTTGTCTTTGGATATCACCCAACACCCTTGGATATTTGACTTCTTGTCCTCGTGCCATCCAATTCGGAGGAATACCGCGAGAATTCATGAAACAACTCATTTTTCACTTCATTCCAGCTTCTTTTGCTAAGAACTGGCCAAAGGCTGGGCCAATATCTCAAAAGGAGAGGACAGGGGCATGTTTGGCGACAAATCAAGGACGTTCGAAAGTTGAGCAGGCAATGAATGACGTCAAGGCGAACATCGAATACGAGGAACAAACACGAATTCGAAATGCTTTTCTGCAACGAGCTGTTGAGCAAAGGATTTGACACACTGCTGTTGCGATGTATAGGATCGGAGGACGGGTGGTGGCGAAATATTCTTTCGGCCTACTCGTGAACATGACCAAAGAGCAGCTCCATGATGCGTTCATTTGCTTGAATCGTGATGAGAGTCCGGAATGCCATTGAGCTCTAATAGAGAAGCGAGCTCTAATAGAGAAGCACAACCAGCATGCACTAAGTGCACGTAATTCATAGTAATACATGTACATTTACTTGATTATCCTATTCCATTTGTACTTGCGCGCACAGCATTTAATTCCTTTGAATTGATGTGAAAGGTAATAAGTGAGCTCCTGTGGCTTAATATAAACTTAATCTCCACGATATATTTAAACATAGACTGACTCAAGGTCAGCTAGCCCTACCAATGGTCCTTGTCTGCAGTAAACATTACTGAACAAGTTGGTATGGTTGCTATCGTATAAGCTCAGCGCCCTATCAGTGATAGTAGCCTACACTACATGAGAATGCAGGGTTAATCTGGCTTGATGTGATTAACACTTTCTTCTAGCGAATAGCGAACTTTACTGCAAAGCAGAATCACAGCAGGCCAATGGCGAAGTGGTTCATTCTACTGGCAGTTGAGGGGTATTTACAAGTTTGCGCAAAAGAAATGTCACTAAAGCCCCTAACTTTATGAAAGTGCAGCTAGACTTCCGGTTTATACATTGATCCATTCAAGTCTGACGCCCCTATACTGACTGAAGAGATCACCTTCACGAGACGGGCAATAACGAGCCCGTATGCGACATTGGTGTTCTGGCGTTTTGCGCGTGCGTGCAGTGGGAACACTAAAGTATTCAGGAGTCTTCAATCAGAGCAGCATATGTTACCGCTTTGAATGAATGCCATTATGTGAGTTCAGCTGCGTTTGACACTCCACAATCTATCGAAAAGACGAGGAGTGACAGACGGGCAACCTGTGATGCTCCACTCCGTGAATGGAAAAGCTTGTAAACGTTCAATCTCTGGTCTATTAATATAACTTGTGAAGTGGAAATATTTATAACGCCAAAAAATTCCTGTCTCTTTCCAAATGCTGTCAAGTAAACACGGAAGTCTTTCATCCTTTCAAAACCAATATCTTGTTCTAACATCCTAAGTCTGGACGATACGGTAGTCACCCTGGACAATACCGTTCAAGATCCATGGGGTGCATGTATGTTCCTCCGAGGTACGGTCGCCACTGCACGTCTCCAAAGTGCCCTTAGTGCAGCGATAGACAGGCGTGAAACCGACCCGGCCAGTCTCTCCGGCATAGACAGTCAGCTCAGTCTGGAAGCCCTTGCTCTCGGAGTCGCTGAACTCAAAGCCAACGGAGACAGAAACAACGCCAAAGGGGTCACCCAGCGAGGCTGAGAAAGAGGTGGTTCGAGAAACGGATTGATCGTAGGTGATGGTGATGGTGCGGTCGGTTTCCTCAGCTGGGACGGATCCGGACACAATCTGAGTGTCGAAGGTGGTGAGGTAGGGCTCGCCGTTAGCCTGGTAAGACTTGCTCTTGAAACCAGTGCAACGAGCCTGGTTGCGAGACTCAGTGGCCTTCAGCGTGTTGTCCTTCGGAGGAGAGCCGACTGCGAGAGGCTCGATAATGGTGCCGTTGGCGAACTTGAGGTAGCCACCCTGGAGTCCGCTGCCGACGCTGCGTCCCTCGGTGTCGCGGCGACCCCATGGCACACCAGCTGCCTCGCAGTCACCAGAACCGCAGCAGAATTGAACCACTAGTTTCATTGTTAGAATTTGATTCAAGACTGCAGACCTTTTTTACTTACTGAAGGTATCCTCCATGCGAAGCTGGCTAGAGCATTCGGCATTCTCGGTGTGGTAGATCAGATCTCCGCAACCAGTTGTAGTCAAGCTGGCTGGGGATCGGACCATGTAGCTACCGGGCTGGCCGCCGCAAGGGTCGATGAAGTCACCCCAGACAAGGTACTTCACTTTGCCGGTGCCCTCTTTGAAGCCCTGGCCACCAAAGACGGTGTTGGTGTCGTAAATGACACACTCAGGGTATCCGGGACCACTGCTGGCGATGGAGGAAGGGCAGTCGTTGCATCCCTCAGACTTGCACCAAGAAACGTCTTGAGCAGTAGCCAGGGCAGCGAACGCCGCAGGAAGGATGAATGATTGCTTCATAGTTGAGCTGAAGATGAGATCAAAGTACTGTTGATGGGATGGAAGGATAGACTTGTGTATTGAGATGATGTTGTGGATGATGAGGAAAGTCCGAATGATGGTGTTACAGACACTTGTCTTTATAGTTGTTTCGCATGAGCAATGATCTATCCGAACTGTCTAAACTCTGAGAAGTTGCGAATTGATGATCGTCCCCAAAGTTCTTTGCGTTTGCCTGGTGCTTTCAGCTTATCCACATCCTGAACCGGGGTTAATCTGACAGTTGTTGATCTTGATCTTGAGCCAAAAGTCTCTCTAATGTTAGATCAGGCTACTAAGTGCTCACATAGCTCTTCTGAAGTTGTTGATCGACTCCAAAGTCCCTTTGGGTGACCCTCTCGGCAGCTCCACATTTCCATCAGGGGTTTCCGGCAGTTGTCGATCTGGGGCCACAAAATCTACGAAGGGTTGCATCAGGCTACAGCTTCACATCAGCCCCACGCGACGCAGCGACATAGCCTCTCCAGGCTTCCAAAATTCTGTTTGTGGTTGAAAGAAGTGATTCCGGAAATAGACGATCAACACGCAGGTTGACATTCGACCATAGCAAAGGCTGAATTTAGGTTTTTGATAAGACTATATGCCTAGACCCTTTCTCGATGGATATTGCAAGGAGTGGGAACCATTCCTACAATTACAGGGCTCGGCCGATGAAGGCGCCACTTTTACAGGGCCCAACTGGCGGAGGAGTCACTGAAGACTTCACATCCATGCCACCTGGCTGATCATCATTGAGATCATCATCAGGCTCGAGGCGTTTACTCGGGACCCCTTGAAAAGACGCAGGCAACAAAATATCACCAAGTCGCGAAAGGGACTTTGGTAGATTTATTTGGCAACTCATTCGAGATATTCACCGACTGGAGTTCTACAAATACTTAGTCTCTCGTCCGCCTTTCCAAAACAATGCAATCTGGCCCTCATCAACCCATCTAGACATCTCAACCCCAGTCACTCTCTTCACTTCTTGTCTTCACCAGCATCAAGTCCAACTCCAGCATACCAAGACTCGTAATCATGGTTTATATTAAGCAACTTGCTACCTTCTTTTCCTCGGCTCTTGCCGTCGTGGCATCGCCTACTTTCCGCAACTCTAGCGACAATGTCAAGGACATTTCTGCTCGTCAAGCTTCGCAGATCCCTCCCAACTCTCTGTACCTCGTCGAATGGTACCCCAACGGCTGTGGCAATGGAAACGGAGTTTCTCTGACCGGTCACGAGGAGACTCTCGCCGTTTGCTCCAAGTTCAACGGTCTCTATGACCCCAACGCCGCCGACTCCGCTTCCGTCCGCTTCTTGTTCCCGGATGACGGTCGCACCTTCAAGTGGCGCCTCTTCAGCAGCAACACCTGCAGCACGCAGATTGCGACCGGCACCGGTGGCGGATGCTTCAGCGTCCCATCCAACCAGAACGTCGGCGCCATCATTGTCTACACCTAAGATACCCGGAGCCCTGGAGTTTTGAGCTTTTATATTTAGGATTTATTACGTGCGTGCGAGAATGGTGAGGTGGGAGGCGTTTCGCTTTGTCGGAGGTCCAAGTTTGAGGAAATTCCCGGGATCCAGAGCATGTAATTCTTGAAATTTACATTTGTTATACGTACTTTAGATGTGGAATATGTTGCCAAGACGACCAACAGTCTGGCTTCTTGTTCATCAGCGCTCATGTGTTTCCCAATGAACAGTCACTACATGTTTTACGCAGACCTTGTCAAGAGATCTCTCTCTCTCTAAACTGAGCAGCTTTCGGCAGATGCCTGCATGGCGGGCCGCTCCTTACAGGGACTGGACAGACCCTAGCGTCTAGTGTATCCACACAAACACATCAAATGCGGAAAGTATGATGATGATCCACCAGGGGGCATCTGGCCGTTCCTCGGCGCTTGAACCAAAGTCCCGTTCAGGGCCTTGCTCTCTCCTTTAGAGACTCCGCCAAACCCCAGTTTTTAAGCATGGCCAGGGCAATCGCTTTACAGGCAGCACGCCGTTTGGCTCAAGCTTCTGTCGGCCGCTGACCTTCACCACCGCTCACCGCTACGTGCCTGGGACACTGACTGGACTGTACTCCGTATTAGATATGTGCACTCCGAGTTTTACAATTGAAAATGGGCTATGACATATATTCTATCAGACTCTACTCCCGAAGATCATCTTAGGTTCTAAACCATTGGTAATTAATGATCACTTTATTTTGCTTGACTCTTCAGAAGTTGCTCCACGACATCTGCTAGCCAGATCCACTATAGCAAAACGCCCCTTTTAGCCGAATGCTAGAGCTGCTTCTGCGTTGTTTCTTTCTCTGCTGCAACAGACGGTCTGTAATTCGCCAATCTGAAGTTCTTTCTGTTATCCTGCGAAATCTTCTTATCATGATATGCCACATCGAAAGCGCTTCTATCAGTTTTATTGAACATCGCTCGGACCTTATTAGGGGCTCGAGTCGGGTTCCAATTGCCTTGGCTCATGATCGGCCACTCAAACTGCTCTTCTGGGGCTTGAAGCTTGAGGTTTTCCACGTTCTGGTACAACTTAGGATATGGAGACATTGGAGGCTTCTCGGACGGAGCTTGCTGCACTTGTCTTCGCACATCGGCGGCTTTGATGTAGCGAAGGGGGTCGTTTGATTGAAGTCCAGAACAGGAGTACTAGGGCAATAAAGTTAGGCTGGTGCATGCTACACGCTTGCCAGGGGACATCGCCTACATAAGAACTGTCTGTCGGCGTTCGTTTGGTCTTCTGAATGTCAAGGGAGTCAGTCCGCGGTAGAGTAGGCTGAGAGGCGGTCGGCCTTGGAAGGGGGTCCGGAATAGACGAAGTAGGGACTGGGTTGAAAGACGAAGCAGCAGGATTGAATCGTGTAACTGTCGAGTTGGATGACGGTGCATTTCCGACAGTTGGAGAACCAGTCGAGGGGGGTTCCGGGCGGGGAGACGGATGCTTGGAAGCTTGAGCCACAGTCCGAGTAGTCAATTTGTCGTCTGATCGACGGGTCGGTTGATGATTCTGCTGGTTGGTAAGGTTGCCGGTAGATATTTCTTGCCGATAGTCGATGTTTTGGCGTATGTACTCGTTGGCAAGATGACCCATGGGATTGCCCATGTGATTGTTATGGGTATAGGCGTGAGAATGAAAGGAGTTGCTCACGGGCCCAGCCGAGTTGTTGACAAAGCTACTACTACCACCCTGACTGTTGCTTTGAATATGGAGAACCGAGCTTGCGGTTTGACTATTGATGCTGTTGGTTTGATAGCTCAATCCGTAACCAACAGGACAAGGTTGCGTCTGATAACGAAGATGGTTGTCGATATGGCCATTGTGGTATCCCATTGGCTGCGAGATAGGGTGCGTAGCTGTATGCATAACAGGCTGGTTGTTGAATTGATTGATCTGCTGATTGACGGCAAGGCTCATAGCAATATCTACAGGCTGAAGAAGAGGCTGCTGACTCTGGTGGTTTGGATTTCGATTGGCTGAACTTCTTCGACGATTACTGGACGACTGATTTGGAGACTGCTGGCCGAGTCTGTTGGGCGAAACATTGTTGGAAAGGGCTTCTGGGCGCGTTTGAACGTTGATAGGTTTGGCTTGGCCTACGGTGACTATCGTAGAGTTATTGGCGAAATTTGAAGCTGGATATGTTGAAGAGGGGCCAGCAGGAGTGAGGTTGGAGGATGGTGTGGTGTTCAGGGTCGAGCTGGATGCCGTGCCTGCTAAAGTCGTGGTAGACTTGTCCTCGGCTTTCTTTGACCTTTTGAAAAACATGATGCAAGTTGAATCACTGTACCAGCAGCAGAAAGAATATAATATACATAGATAGATAGTCGAAAGATAAGAAAGTATCACTGCGACTCCAAGCAGAAATGATAATCATCTGAAAGTCATGAAGACCAGCCTCCGCGCGACGCTTCTAGAGTAATTTAAACGATTGATACCTATTTAAAGGATATCCGCCGTCCATATGTCAGTTTTCTTAAGTCATAAACATCCTTGATCGGTCGGGTACGAAAAGACCGCCATAACATCCGGACGTTTCAAATGTAGCGAGACGCCTGTTGGTCATTCAAGCAGGCCAGTATGGATCTCAGTTCCAAAGGCTTTAATTCGTCCTAAACAAATAAGCGCTGTTGATGAAATTTAGCGCGCGACTGGCTTGATAAAGTTAGAATTTGTGTTGTTGGTTCAATGGGCACCGGGCCGCGACCCCACCAACAAGACAATCGTCTCGTCCCGAGCGAGGCCGCCTGACTCTGAGAAAACAAGAGAAACCCAGTTCCACGTTCAAATTCATTGTCAAAGTCTGAAATGCTTTGGGGGAGAAGTCTTCTTTTCGTTCCTTCGAATATCTCTCAGTGCCTTATTCTCTCTCATAACATTCACGATGACGAATACGGAGAACAATTCTGGCGACATTTTGCCGCAGCACGAGCCTTTGAAACCATTCAAGAGCACCGTTGTCCACGGCATTGATTTTCGGGCACTTTATGAACATGGAATGCTTCCTGAATTCGAGGCATTATTCAGCCACTTCATTGAAGCTCTGGACTCCCTCTCTGAAGACAATCTCAACGATAGAGCTACGAAACTGGCTTCGGAGTGTCAGATGCTGCATCCGTCACGCCCCAGTGGACTTCGAGGCTTCGAAGTTGGCGCTTTCTTCATGCACTTTTGGACTTTTTGCCACCTCATCGCCCGGTGTATACCTCACCGCCACATTGGTCAGAAGCTTCTAGTACAAGTTTTTGTCGACCTTGACGCTGCAGGCCAGGTAGGTTATTCCGCCTTCTTTGATTGACAGTGGCTAAACTGATGAACTTGCAGTCGACCAACGAAGACTGGAAGGGTCTTCCTGACTTGGACATGTTTACGAGAGAAGACTGGATTTGTGAGTTCCAACCACCTTTCGGCTATGGGTACGGAGGCTTACTGCCAAACCAGCGCCAACCTTCGCACGTGTAAAAAGC